AAAAAAAAAGCACAACATAAAGTATAAAATATAAACATATATATGTATGTATGAGGAGGCCCCTAAAATATTGTGGCCCTAGGCTCCTGCCTGGCCTGTCTGGCCCAAGAGCCGGCACTGGGTAAGGGTAAGTCATTTGGACTTTTAATGATTCCCTAACCTTGTAAAGGTGGAGTAATACAAGATACTCTTGATAGGGAGGTCACCTATACAAGTGTGCAGTGTGTGCCGCTTCAAATATAAAAACTTATGAACCCAAAGTGTTGTCCATGCCAAAACGGATACAACAATAGAACTGGATGGAGTTAATGATCTACTGTGTGAATGTCATTGTTTTGGTGTACACAATGGAAGAATAGTTCAAGGCAATATGTCCACTAAGCCACCAGTACATCCGATGATGTTTATTAAAAAAGGTTCAAAGCCACAAACTACCTTTTCTGATACAATATAGTCTTGTGAGAATTGAGCAAAAGAGTGAATATATTTAATTTACACTCATGTGGAAGATTATTAATTATTACCAATAATTTTCAATAATTGAGTTTGATTATCAATTGTTGAGTGTAAATTTATTAAATATTATCACTTTCTTTATTATCAATAATTGATTAGTTACTTATTGAGTATTATCATCAATTATTGTGTATTATTATCAATTATTGGTTGTAAATTGGTAATTGCTTCAGTAATGTACTTTCATATTCTCTATAAATACATGTTCCTAAATCTGGTGTGCTACAGATTTCGAGACGATCGTCTTTGTATCTTTGGAGACGATGCGCCTGAACCGTCAGCACTACACGGGCGTATTCGTCTTGCAGGAAGAGTTTTACTCGCCTCAGCTAAAATCTTTCTGTTTTTTTAAGCTGTAATTTATTTCTGGTTATATTGTAATTTTCTAATTTTTAGTGCTATTGTAATTCTACAACACATTTCTAACACAACTTCAATAATTGTATACAAGTATATGTCTACTCAAATTGTATTTTAATTAATTTCAGGATTGGATGATCGACTATATAGTGGTTCCAGTGGCGACCTGGTATGGGCTTGCAAGCGAGTATAGATACTTGAAGAATTCAATCAAGGAGTACCTCACAGGTTTGGTGTAGTTGGTCAATGAACATTATATGTCATATAATTGTTTAACTGTGTGTCGAGTGTTTCGAATAATGCAGGGAAAGAGTTGGAGAAGTTAGCTTTGGAAGCAGGCTTCTCTGAGGCTAAGCACTATGAGATTGCTTGTGGATCCATGGGGAATTTGGTCGCCACACGCTAGAAATTTGATTGTTCCACTTTTACTGTTTCTCTTGTGTTTGTTATATTCTGCAATTTTCCAAATGCTTTCATTTTTTGTCATTTTTTTTCATCCTTTTAATGATTTCTGATGATCTTTTTGGTCTAAAGAACCATATGCTAGAATCCCATATGCTAAAATTCCCTCTCCGGCCTCCGTACCCTTATACGGATGGACCAATTGAAATACTATTCATTCATATTTGTGTAATCGATTTTACCATTTGGTGCATCTGCTCTCCCACAGTGGCGAAACCAGCCGGTCATCCCGGGGAGGGCCCAATTTGCCGCGGCGCACCACCCCCACTCCGGAATCGGAAGGGCGCTCAAAGTGCTTTTGTGGACGCTCTCAAAAATTTTCGCAGGATATAAAGGAATACTCTAGAGATTTTTCTAAAAATCAAACTAAGTCCAGAATTAAACTGAATTGTTTTAACTCGAAAAATACTCGAATTTATACTAATAGAAATCTCGGACTCAATTATAATAACAATCAAGAATTATACCTCCTTTCGAATAGACGAAAAGCTAAAAAAATTGAGAAAACGAAGCCTCGAACGATCGAACTCGTCCTCGACAAATTTACTCCTTTTGATACTATTTAACGCATAAATTCAAACTCCCATAATAAATGCTCGGAACTCCGAAAAATGCGAAATTTGTCCGTATCGAATCATGCTTGAATTGTCTACACGGTCCAACTCGATTCTCGTTAAACCGAGGTCACACGCAACCTTACGGAACCCCGCAAAACGGCTTTTTATTCTTCTATTATCCGCACTCGACTTCGAGCTTCTCAAAATAAATGCTCGAAATTTCGAAACGTGAAATAAATTTTACGAACGGCTTCTACTGTTCTCGTGCTTTCAAGAAAGCACTCCCGCTAATTTTCAGCACGCCTAACGAGGGACGACGGTTACCCGAAGTCTAGACATGAAAATGACAATAAAATCACCGCCACTGACATTTTTCTCTCAACTTCGAGCTATCCAAAATAAATGGTCGGGATCTCAAAATCATAAATCGATGCCACCAACGCACTCTCCGCTTCCCGTACTTTCATAAAAGTATTTTTCGGTAATGATCGATTCGGTTTTTGAGTCCCGTCGGTACACCGCAAGTCGGTTAATTAACCAACTCAAAATATAATAAAAATGAAAAATTATTAAATTCTGCTGCTGTTATAGTTCTCTTTGTCCCGAACCAGGATCCCGTTTCGGGGAGGGCTCAATTTGCCTTTAAAAAAAAATTTCACGACAAAACCGGTGGCGCCCCTCCGGCCATGTATGTACCGCATGAAACCGGGGAGGGCCCAACATGCGCGCTCTAAGGAAAATCTTCCAGTTCCAGCAAAATCCTCCACTCCTAGTTTAGATTTTTTTTTTGGAGGGACCGGCGCCTCTCCGACCCCCCACATGGTTTTGCTCCTGCTCTCTCGTGACGCTGATTTGTCATTTGGATTCTTCCCGAACCAGGAGCTGTTAGTTTCTGGCTGTCGTTAGTTTTTTCTTGTTTATTTTCTTATTTCTGTTTTTGTTCATTGTTATTGACGTATATCAGATACTGGACTTGTGTGACTTGTGGATTTGTGACTTTTTAGCCCATTTAGCGTGAGTATCCCAAAAATCAATAATCATTGTTGTTAAAATTAACACATATGCACAAGCAACAAACATCACGTATTTGCAAACAGAGATTCAAGATTCACACCCCATGAGATAAATGTAAAACAACTAATAATGAACCACCACGCATGATTTGTATCATCACGAACAAACAATTACACAAACACACACTCACAGAAATACAAATAAATGTAGACGTATATATATTTAATCAACAAATCATCAGCGTGAACAACATCTGAATGCCTCAGTGTTGCTTTTTCTGAGCCACCGCCAACAAAATCCCGCTAAGCTTGAGCACCTCCTTGTCGTAATCGGCCACCTCCGGCAGGGTGACCTTAAACTCGTTTAGGCCGTCAGTGCAATCGGTGAAGGTCGTGGCAGACAAGTAGGTGTCGAGGGAGGAGTACGGGTCGCTCTTCACGAACCCAATGCACTGCTCGATGTTGTCCACCACGTTGTCGTACGCCTCCCGGCATGTGGCGGCAATCGACTCCTTCGTTTGTGGGCGGAAGTCTTGCGGGAGCTTGGACTCGACCCCGTAAGCAATGCACTTGCCCGCCTTGACCTTGTCCCGGACAGACTCGAGCGTGTGGGTCATGGCCTCTGCCCACGTCTTGGCCCCGCCGGCTAGCTGGGAGCATAGGGTTTGGTCGTCAGAGTTGGCGCAGAAGGGGTTGAGTTTAAGGGCTGAGACGGCGGAGGAAGAGAGGAGGGCCAGCAGGAAGTAGACGGCGGTGCTGGTTTGAGCCATCTATTATAAGTTTGTTTTATTCTTATGATTCTTTGTTGGGGTGCTCATGTGCTAGTTTTTTTTTTTTTTTTTTTTTTTTTTTTTTTTTTTTTTTTTTTTTCTTTTTTCTTCTGTTTTTGTAGTGTGCCACAAATTACGTGGGCCTTTCAAATTTTAATGGTGGGAATGTATATCATGTGACTAGTGAGATGAAATAATTTTTTTTTTGTTTTTTTGGATTAACGATAAGTTCGGGATGTGAAATGGGTAATTTTTGTGTTTTGCGCTTGTTTGAAAAAAAAAAAAATAAAAGAAAAGAAAAATCACGTAATATGTGTGGAGGGAATTTCGGATCCTTAAAACATGTTCCTCCATTTATTTCTTTACGGTGAGTTAAAATTAAGTGCACGTGAGATCCACGTGGTGTTGAATGTATTTACTCATTAAGTTTAGTATGATAAGTTAATTAATTTATTATATATATTAATATATGAATAAAATAAAATGTAAATCAAATGAGTTCCTAATGTAACTTTTTTCAAAAGTAACCTAATTATGTCATAATATAAAAAAAATGAAATATCACATAACAACACCAACTAAAATATATGACAAATGATTGACTAATTGAAAAAAAAAAAAAAGAAACACTTATAACTAACTATGTACTTAATGTATAGTATATGATATGGAATAATATACCATGTCGACCCGACTTAGAAAGCAATAGAATTGAACCGCACGAACTAACAGGTCGAGTAGAGACTGAAGACCGAAAGGTTAAAGGATCATGGGGTTAAAGAGGATTTCAGGGATACACACCAACATGTCAAATTAGGGCCCTAGGATGGGCTAATGGAAGTTCGACTTGGAAGTATATTTGGTTGAAGGGTTGACCAAACAAGGAGAACATAAGAGCTCGATATCAGTGGTACTCTACCTTGAGGATAGTAATCATGTATTGTCGCACGGTTAGACCTTCTAATAAGGAAGATAAAAAAGAATATTATTGGGACTAGACCCCCACGTGGATAGGGCCACGTGACTTAACATAATTGAACAGTTCGGACAGCCTAGGCACTCACTCGGGTACGCTTGGGCAAGAAGGTTATTTCCCTATAAAAAGGAGTGAGGTATGCCACCATTACATTAAATTCTCCATTATTGTTCACACATATACACTGCACTTTATCTTTTACAAGTGCTAACTTAAGTATCAGAGGCTCTTCACCGAGAAACCCTTTAGGCACTTCAATCTGTGGGAATTTCGTTTAAAAATCCAGCAAACATCATAACCATGGTGAGCGAGATTCCTAGGAAGAATTTGGAGCAGACTTTCAACGATCTGTGGCCGAACACACGTCCGTTTGGAGGGAGTCCACCGCCAGGCTTTTACAGACCTTCTCAGACCCTAATGACCAAGATGCTAATCCCACGGGCTTAGGGAGCTCGTCGACGGTCTCTGTCGCTATTGCGAACCCGAGCCACGTGCAAGAGGTTCGAGCAGCTAGGAATGGTGGTTCCAGTTCAAGGTACTGTTCGACAAGTGTTCAAGGCAGAATCCACCACTATTAAGACCTTCAGGTTGGATGGTCGATAGTAGTGGTGCGTCGGGAAAGGCTTCACAAATCCAGAAGTTATAATCTTTTTCAAGGCAAAATGATGGATCGACCTCAAATGGGGCACGGGGGAGGGTAAGAGATGCAAATTGATTGCCAATACTCTATACATCAAATAGCCCATAACCCATGCAAGCTCCTGGTAACCAGATTTTTGTCGAGACCCACGGCCAGCCTAGTTCAATCGCAGTCCAATCACGAGCCGAGTCCGAGGCCCTTCAACCGAGTCATTCCGATTGCGGGTAGATTCACGGTTGTTCGGTATTTGGCTCGGATCCCCTTTTCGTATTTTTGATGTTATATTCTTGTATATTTGGTTCTATTGAATGATTCGATGTTGTTGATTCGATTTGCGGTTGTGGTTGGCCTGTATAATTCGATTGGTATGTGTGTATATTCGTTTGGATTTTTCCGTGAAATATTCTCGGAACTCTCGATTTTGGAAAATTGAGCCTTGTGTTATTTTCATCGTTTGAGTTGCTAATATTGTTGCTTTGAGTTTGTTATTTTTCTCTTTCGTTCGTTGCCGTTTTATTTTTCTCGGGCTCTCAAATTATTGTTCGCGTTATCTTTATTGTCGTTGAATTTCCGGTTGCCGAAGGATGTTCGTCAAAGAATCATTTGTCGGGTGTTATCGTTTTTGTAAATATCCCTGTCTGTTTGAAATTTTGTTGGCCTCTGTTCATGCTTTCATTCATTTCATTTTAAATTTTCAGTCCTATTGAATAGAGAAAAAATCTTATCTGCCTCAGAATAAAAAACTCGTTCCATAAAAGAATCAACACAATTACAATTCCACAAATACATCATTTTGTAACTGCCATTGATTTTGAATTAGAAACAGAAGTTAATAAAACAACAGTTACAAATTAAATAAAAAACTACTTAATTAAAATATATTTATCTATCATTTTTCTCTCTCTTCCTTCTCTCTTCTTTCATCCATCGCATCCGTATTTATTCCCTTTTTCTTCTTCTTTCTTTTCCAAATTTTTCTTCTTGTTCTTTACCAACATGAATGCTTAATAATTAAAAGAAAAAAAATGATCAAAAAATTGTACATACAAAATTTATTTCAAAAAGTAGGCGATCACTGAATAAGTTGAAGGCGACAAAAGAAAAAATAAAAAACACACATCTTAATAAGAAAAAATGTGATACAGCAACCAAAAAGCAATACCACGACGCTTATAAATCAACATAAAAGCAACAAAGATCTCCTGTTTTTATTAGGCTCCAGTTTTCATTAACACTCTGAAATCCTATTTTTTAACTATTAGCAACTTCAGCATCAAATAAATCACTTTCTCCATCGAAAAAGCGATTTCCAAACACTCAGATATTTTTTATATTTTTAACAAAACATAATAAAAAAAGCAAGAAAACAACTTTCCGATCAACATAAGAAAATATCAAAAATTCCCCAAAAAAATAACAAAAATTAATTAAATAAATCAATCACAATTTCAATTTACCAAAGCATGTAAATAGGGCATGATGGAGTACGAAACTTGGGGTTCAAACACCGACTGCGGGTCTTCTTCTTTGAGGATTTCCGGCGTTTAAGGTCGGTTGGAGCGGTGGTGTTTCTCGACTGGAACCCTAACTCGGCGATTTGTGATTGTCGGCCATGGGGCAGGTTGGGTTCAAAACGAATCGACTTGTCGTTTGCGAGCCTTCTTTCTTCGAGAATTTTCGAAGTCAGTTCGATGGTGGCAGCGCTGCCATGGCCCCTTTCTCCAGATCGTCGCTGATGATCTCTCCTTCCTTCGCGTTCGACTCGTCTCTGCCAGGATTGTGGTGGTTCTTGACCATTGATGTCTAGTACTCTGTTGCCTCTTTTATGGCAGTGGTCGTGGATAAATTCTCAGATTCTTCATCCATCTTTCTTCTTTCAAGCGTTTGTTTCTGATGATTATTGGTTCTCCTTTAACGGCGGCGCTGTGTTTTTGGAGATTGTTATAATAAAAATTAATTAAAATAAATAGCGGGAAAACAGTTACTAAAAATATATTAGACTACAAAAAGGAATAAAAGGGGAAACATACTATGCAATTTTGACTAAATAATAATCAGGTTCCTTAATGTAAACAGTTTTCAATAAGAGATAAGGGGCGTCAATATTTCTATTGAATAAGATGACCAGGCCCTCAATTTTATTTAGCCACCTTCTTTCATGCCCATTAGTTTTTTTTTTAAGTCTTGGCCCAAAGTTTTTTTTTAATTGAATGTTTTCCGGCCCACTGACAACCCAAACGGCCCACTAAGACAAACCAAACGGCCCAAAAGAATCTACCTCAGCCCAATGGCACCGTAAGGCCCAGCATCTGCCCAGCAGCAGTAACACGCGGGCCGCCCGACCCGCGCTCAGCCCGATTCTCCTCCTGCAGCGCCCGACCCTAAGTCAGCCCGAGTCCGGCCCGGCTAGTCTTAACCCCAGCAGCGCCAAATGCGGCCCAAGTGCTCTAATAGCGGCCCATATTGGTTTAAATTCAAACCAATTTTATAGGAAAATTTTCATCTATCCTACAAGATTTAGATTTATTTGTGATTTTGCAACTACTATAAGTTTAATTGCATATGTACATAAAATTATTGAATTAATTGAAGATTTACTTGATTTCAGTTACCATAAAAAAATTTTGACTCATAAGAGAGAGAAATGAAATTAAATAACTTACTCATTTAATTCCTTAATTCGCGCAACTGGAATTTTTTAATTCACGCAGCTGTCAGGTGGTGTATATTGGGTTTATGTTAGTATATATTCAGTATATGTGCTCAACTGGAATTTCTTAATTCATGCAGTTATCATCAGGTGATATATATTGCGTTTATGTTAGTATATATTCAATATATGTTGCAATGAAATAAAGGTCTTCCATAAAAAAAATTATATCTTCCTCCTTTTTTCTTTTTTTTTTTTCTTTTATACATAATATATAGTTTACAAACATATTATAACAAATTACTTAATATAAAACCATATATATACACAACAACAAAAAAATTTAGTTTATGCTAAATATATATTGATTTTATACATAAAAATTATGTCTCGCGAGAAATTTATTTATCATATACCGAAAATATATTGAATATAAACCATACATATACAAAAAAAAAGTCAGTTTATGCTTTGTCAAATTCGTTTTCTAACAAAAAATTCTTCTAATATATCCAACATAAACTATGAATAAAACATTGAAAACAGAAAAAAAAACAAACATCCCTTCACAAACTAATTGTACATAACTAAGACAATAACGCTACATAACTAAGATTTACATATACTCCTTTTTTTTTTTTTCTTTTTCCTCCTGTCTTTTTCCCTGTTTATTTTCTTTTTTCCGTCACTTATTTTCATGTTATCTCCTTCTTCCGTAAAAAGATGGTGGACAAAAAACACAGGCAATTTTCACCTCTAACGCTTGGTAGGATCCATGTATTGGTGGCTATCATGAAAAAAGATGGTGGCCAAAAAGTAGTTAATTGGCATAATATGCTCGTAATTAATAAGGTATGAATAAAGTTCAAGGCTTCTTCATGTAGATAAACAATGTTGCTGTAACACCTCAAATAAATTGTTGCTTTGAACAAAAATAGAACAGCGAAGAACAACTGCAAGAGAAAAAACTACAAGAAATGTAACAAAATTATAATGGACAACAAAAATGGATAGATTAATGAAATTTGCCCGTCGTCCATTAAGTTGCAAGTAGAAAAACGTATCTCCAACCGATGGGGATTATACTGTCAACGGCGGGGATGGCTAGGTGAGCGGAGGCAAAGCGGTGGGGGAGGAGAATAGCGGCGAATTGTAGAAGAAGAAGAAGATGAGGAAGAAGAAGAAGAAGAAGAGAGAGGGGAAAAGATAGAGAAAGCATCGTATAATTAAACTCCCATTAAACTACCATATTTATTGCAACTGTAAATGATGGTATATTTTGCAAAAATTGGAATAGTTTGCCTAGATTTTGATGTACACCTTATATTTCAAAAAATTTGAGAATGATTTAAATGCCTTATATTTTAAAATGGAGGGAGTAATAAAATTAGGAAAAATTATTTTAAGTCCCGAATCTTTATTTTGACTTCCGAGACCTATTATTTTTAAAATAGGTGAGTTTCAAGTCCACGAAAATTCACGAAAAATTCGATCAAGCCTTAATCGATTTATTTTGATTAAGTGGGACTTTTCGCATTATTTTTTTAATCGAGATAATTTGTTTAATAAGAATTATCTTGATTAAATGTAGGTGTTTGAGGAGGCGTACCTCGACCTACCTTATTGTCTCGTGCTAGCTTCGCTATTTTCCTAGTGGGTAAAATATTTTTAAAAATTTGTTATGCCATGTTTCGTGAAAGTAGTAGATACTGCGATTTTAAGTATGCGTGTGAACCATGTAACCTTCGATGTTTCGTGATCTTCGAATGGTTATCCACGTCGTTGAGAGTTGTATGTCCTTCCACAGTGCCTAATTGATGGGCAGTCTCCCTTAGCCTGATGATAGGCCACGCCGATGACAGTTATATGTCCTTCGATATATACTCCTATTGTTGAGAGCTGTATGTCCTTCAATGACTGATGATAGATGTGCACATGAGTATAGAGATGAGATAGATGAATGATTCACACTAGTAGTGATGACTCTAGTGTAATAGATATGAGGAAAGAGAAAAATGTGAGAACACAAAATAATTTTGTTATAAAAAAAAGTAAATTAAATTAAAGAATATTAAATTGCTAGAAGTGGAATTATGATACACAATAATGAAACAAAAAAAATTAAAAACATACATAAATTTGTTATGTAGTTGGGCCAAATTAATTGGTGATACAAATATGGTAGGCCCGTTAGTGAAATTGATGGAAATGGGCATGAAAATAGTTTCAACAAATCTCTCTCTCTCTCTCTCTCTCTCTCCCTCTCTCTCTTTCTCTCTCTCTCTCTCCGTCGCTATCATCTTCCTCATTTTCCTTTCTCCTATTACAGTGGATTACTCGAGAATTCATCAGAAAATTACCTAATTCATTACAAAAGACAACAGCATCTTGTTCATAATTTCGATTAACACTCTTGACTAATTAGCTACTGTGGGAATTTTGAAGGTACTGTCGGACTGAAGGTAAAGAAATATGTCAGGTGGGCTTAACCGATCTTCAAGCGCTGCTTCAAAGAACGTCCTTCCTCCTCAAGAGCTCCTGGATGATCTCTGCAGGTACATATGTATTTATGTACTACGGAATTTGTTTGTCGTCTCAGTTTTTTATGTTTATTTGTGTCATAACCATGAATCTATACTATTGAAATAGTGAAGTTGTAGAAAACGTTTTCTGGGTGTAGTTTTAGGGTAAATTGACTTATAATTGTATTTTAACGACTTAAGGGATGGTAGAACAGTCTTTTGTCCAGCTGAACTGATGCGAAGATGAAATAATCATGATTCCTGAGCTTCATTTAGTTATTTTGGGGGACCTTGTTTTCGGAGATGAAGAGATATTGTAAGGGTTCATTGTGTTTCTGGGGGTTTTCTTTTTGGTTCCATTCGGACCAGTAGGCTGTCGTGTTGAGATATTGTAAGGGTTCATTGTGTTTCTGGGGTTTCTCTTTTTGGTTCCATTCGGACCAGTAGGCTGCCGTGTTGAGAAATTGTAAGGGTTCATTGTGTTTCTGGGGTTTCTCTTTTTGGTTCCATTTGGACCAGTAGGCTGCCGTGTTGAGATATTGTAAGGGTTCATTGTGTTTCTGGGGTTTTTCTTTTGGTTCCATTCGGACCAGTAGGCTGCCGTGTTGGTTATATGATTGGAGACGAATTGTTTCAGCGAAGAATTGGACTTGTTTGGGAAGGCCTTTGCTAACTGGTTCTCCTCTTCGGTCTAATTTTTGTTCTCGAATTAATCGCCAATTTTGGTCCTCTTTTGTACTTAGTCATCTTTTCTCTTTTTGTTTTATTCTTGTCATCTATTAGTATTGATAATAGGGTACAAAGATAAAATGAATCCTTAAATGAGGACCAACTTCAGCAGTATGATAGAACTTTAGATTTGGTGACATTGAGAACAATAGCATTGACGTATGACCAGTCTTAACATTGATTCACCTTGCCAAAGAGACTGTATTATATTAGGAAATGTTTGTCTCTTAGTATCTAAACTATATTTGATATTTTGTAGCCGCTTTGTCCTGAACGTGCCAAAAGAGGATCAGCAGTCTTTTGAGAGGATTTTGTTTCTTGTGGAGTACGCACATTGGTTTTACGAAGACAATTCAGTTGAGAAAAATCCGTCTTTGAAGTCGTTGACTTTGAAGGAATTTACATCTTTATGTATCCTTCAGGACATATATATTATTATATGAATTACATTTTTTTGTATCATTTATTTATTCAAGCATAGCAGAGGTATATGTTGTTGGGAATTTTAAATACTTTTACTAATTTTCACATTTTGTGTAACATCATTTCTTAGAATGTTGCATTTGTATTCCGTCAACAGTGTTCATCTTTCCTCTATTTAATGATAGATGCTGGATTGCTAAAAATTTATGTTTATTTGTTGGACTTACTTTTCTAGGCTCATTTTGGGTTTACTTTTCTATGAACATGAGCTGCAAACAGGTTCTTATTTGTCACTTGGTTTATGAGATTTTAGTTCTCCTGAACTTTTTCAGTGTTCAACAACTGTGATGTTCTAAAGCCCTACGTTGCCCACATAGATGACATATTTAAGGACTTCACTTCATATAAAGTTCGAGTTCCAGTGACTGGAGCAATTATACTGGATGAAACTTATGAAAGGGTGAGGTCTTCCCCAACATAATTATTGCTTGAACTTTCATTTTTGGTGTTTAAATTGCTAAGAAGAAGTTCTGAATCTTTTCATTTCTGAGTTGACATTGTTCTTGTAAATTGATTTTTAATCTCAAAGTCTATACATAAGCCGTACTTGGAATTGGCTATACCAACAGGCACGGACTTTCACCAAATAAATGCAAAAGTATAAGATAAACTAGGAACCCAAAAATCTGATTGCTAAATACCTGTATAATTTTAGAATTGTGTTCTTTTCGTATTTATTCATCGTAACCATGTCTCTCTTTTGAGTGGAGGCAACCCAATGTGTATGCTTTCGGATTTTAGATTGGTTCATCTTCCGCATATCTGATTTAGGCCAGTTATTATCATTGAATGCTGCAGCAGCTGGCAGACTACAGATTCAAATCATTAGTTTGGTATCTTTGTACTTGAGTTGGAATTATTGTGTGTGGTCCATGTAAAAACAGGTCATATGACATGAAAGCTTTCAGTTATTTGCGTTTTTAGGTAATTCCTATTAGATTGTTTTTCAGTTTTATGTAAAGAGATGGAAATGAGCTCTCCTAATGTATTTGACAACTGGGCAAACATTTATGAGTAAATTTTTTTTTTCTACACTGATGCAAAGGATGCCTGAGACGAAATTTTTACCGGCACTCATGTTTTGCATTGTATTTCACATTTTTGAGATTTCAAATTATTTTTATCATATGCAGTGTTTACTAGTGAAGGGATGGAAGGGAACTAGTTGGAGCTTTCCCCGCGGGAAAAAGAGCAAAGACGAGGAAGACCATAAGTGTGCGATTAGAGAAGTGGGGTTTTTTCTTTTAGCTTCCATTAATTTTATCTTGAGAGTCTGATAACCTTTTCCTTCTGTGCACATTACTTCTCTTTCTTCTTAAAACTGATTATTTGAATAGTTACTAAACGAACTAGTTGTTATGAGTTGAAAAAAAAAAAAAAATTGTGATTGTACAGTTTCAATCACAACTAGTTCGTTGGTTCAATTAATAGCAAACGTATATTTTCTAGAGTTAAGACATATGGATTGCGGCATTCTTCTGTAAATGCAGGTCCTAGAGGAAACAGGATTTGACGTTTCAAATCTTCTTAGCAAAGAGGACCACATTGAGATGATTTTCGGGCAGCAGAGAGTGAGACTGTACATAATTGCTGGGGTGAATGATGAGACATATTTTGCTCCACAGACTAAGAAGGAGATCAGTGTATGCCCTATTCCTACGAGAAAATCTGAAACTATAGAAGTCCATGGGATGGCACCCTCCAGTAGCTTAACTACCTTTTTTTCTTCTTCTTGATTACTGTCCCTTTTTATTTAATTTTTTTACTGTAGTATAATTTGGTTGTGGGAAGTTGAACAATCAGCTTATGTGCGGACCCTTTGTCCCCTATAAGTTCATGTTTTTTGGTGCTCATAGTTGAACATGTAAAAGCGAAGTTAGAGATATCATTAATGCTTTGTACAACTGTTGTTATGCTGTAGGAAATTGCATGGCAGCGGCTGGATGAACTTCCAGCAAACAATGATGTCATCTCTCGTGGGACAACAGGCCTCAAGCTCTATATGGTTTCTCCATTTTTGGCGTAAGTATATCATTGGGCATCAACTTTTGAAGTCTCTCAAACTCATAAATGCAAGGAATATCATGATTTTTTGTGCAGTTCTTTGAAGGCATGGATTTCAGTGCATCTGCCACCTGTTGCTCCCAGATCTGATAAACCTTGCAAAGGTCTTTCTTTCTCGCCTGATATACAACTTTCTTCCTAGAAATGATTCCTGCCAAAGTTCAGTCTGTGATTGTTCTCTTCTCATTTATCTTAAAAAATGCTCTGTTCACTATATCACAAAAATAGCTCGCTTTAATACTTCTCATCATTATGGTATTGTGGCCTCTTGTTGAATCACACGCTCGATTCCTCATTCTCTTGTGTGCATTTTCTGAACTATTTCAAGGAAAAACTAAAAAATAATCTTGTTTTGCCTGACATTTTATATCTTCATATCTGAAGGAATTAGCGTGTGGAGGGCTAAACATGGTTCTAGTGGAGGCAGCTCAACAGCAGTCGAGAGCCAGCTGACTAGAGCTGTAGCCGATGTGCGTCCTCCCGAGGCTGTCCCTGTGAGAAGCTTCCTGAACTTCCGGTTTGACACTGGCCCAATATTACAAGCAATAGATCTTGCATTCTCTGCTTAAGTGGCCCAAGTATTCCATATATAGCAATTAGCATGCATGCACATTATTTGAACCCATTGAAGCGCCAGTTCCCTTAATTCCGACACATCAAGTCATCAACACGCCTTGGTGCCAGTAATTGATGTATATTTTGTTCCTAGTCGACTTTTGACTTCATATTATGTACGTAGATAATGTATTGGAGAATAGGTCTGTTTTGATTATTGCATTTCACTACTCTTTAGTTATTGGTATGGATTGTTGGGTTGTTTACACTGTTGATAGCTTTTGTGAATTTATTTGAAACAAAACCGTTGTTTTTGTTGAAGTAATCTTACATTACTTATGTTGTGATTCCTTCATATTTGCAATTCTTTTACATACCAAAATATCAAATTGTCAGTCCAATAGAGGTTCTCAAAGCCGAAGTTCTTCAATCGCTTACTTTTCAATACACGATTTACTGAGTTTCCATGGTGGAATACGTCATAGAAGAATTACAGGTTGACGATCCTTCATACTGTATGCTCCTCTCAAGGAAGCAGAAACGATCCTTCATACTGTATGCTCCTCTCAAGGAAGCAGAAAACTCTAGGTAGACTATACTTCTTTTTCTTTTTTTCACGTCTGATTAGAAATTAGAATTCTTTGGACTCTTATATGGTTCGTCTGGTAACCCCAATCGTATTATCCTTAATTTTCGGTATACTCGACATATGTTTTAGCACAAACCAATGAGCCAATGTTTCTAAGTTAATGTTATGAAATAAAATTCTAAATATTATTCAACATAAAATAATGAGATAAATAATATTTTTAGTGCTAACGCATAGGCATGCAATTTTTGAATAAATAAACGTTACATGAAATTGGATGTAAATGATTACTCCAAAATGCAAGTTCATGACATTAAAATGACAAGCTAAATGTCTACCAATCGAATCTTGGCATATAATATTGGTTCAAAAAAATAACAATGTTCATAAAATATATTAATTTTATTAAAAAAAAAGACAATTAACTAATAATTTACCAGATAACATGAAAATCATACTTTGAAATACTATATATATACGCATATTAATCAAGTATTATTTTGCTTTAAAAATTAAATCAATATTAAAATAATATTTCTATTAATAGTTTGTTCATTTTATCCCATAGATATAGACGAAAAATGCTAAGGTCTCGTTACGGAACAATTCCATCGGGATTTGTAACCGTCAGAGATAATTAATCTAACGGCTACAAATCCGACAAAATAGTTCTATAACGAGACCGTAGTATCTTCTTGATATAGACTAGTAAACCAAAAGCAGGTTAGGATGACCCGAAAAAAATGTAAATTACCAAATATTATTTGCTATATTTGAATCATCCTAAACTCCCGTCAAAATCCATAGGTATATGTTCAACTAAACACAGTGAAAACAGGACATCCAACAATTGTTAAAGGAAACTCGTCTATCCATCCATGCATCAACAAACAACAATATATAAGCCTCGACATCCAGACATAAGAAAAATATTGGCTGAAAACAAATTAAAAGAAAGAAAAAAAAAAAAGTTTTTTTTTTTTTTTTTCGGTCTTCCAATCAATCATTTGGCCATCAAAAAACATTGTATTGGGAGATCGAGGAGAGTGACAGAGAGAGGGTGAGAGTAAAAATGACGATGGGTGAAGCAACGAACGTGAGGGAGAAGACGAGTGAAGAGCAGGCGATCGATGATTGGCTTCCGATCACGTCGTCTCGGAAGGCGAAATGGTGGTATTCGACTTTCCACAATGTGACAGCCATGGTCGGTGCCGGCGTTCTCAGTCTCCCTTACGCCATGTCTCACATGGGATGGTACGTATAAAAATATCGTTTGGTAGGGTGGATAGGATATGATGATAATTGATGTCAATCAAAGTGCATGCGGTGTGACTGTGTTTGAATATCGAGTTCGCAGGGGACCGGGCGTAACCATGTTGATACTATCGTGGATCATCACCTTGTACACGCTGTGGCAAATGGTGGAGATGCACGAGATGGTCCCTGGAAAGAGGTTCGACAGATACCACGAGCTGGGGCAGTACGCGTTTGGGGAGAAGCTCGGGCTTTACATTGTGGTGCCGCAACAAGTGGTGGTTGAGGTGAGCACATGCATTATCTACATGGTCACCGGCGGCAAATCGCTCCAGAAATTCCACCATTCCGTTTGCCCCGACTGCCATAACATCAAGCTCACCTATTTCATCCTCATTTTCGCCTCCATTCATTTCGTCCTCTCTCACCTTCCAAACTTCAACTCAATCTCCGTCGTCTCACTTGCCGCTGCCGTCATGTCCCTATCGTATGTTATATTCTAAAAAATCTCCAAAGTTAACATTAATTACTACAAAACTCAAGCTCAAATTACTTAATTGTCTAATTCAAAATTGCAGATACTCGACAATTGCATGGACAGCGTCAGTGGCGAAAGGGAAAGCGGACAACGTTGACTACAGTCTCCGTGGTGAGAGTGCAGCGGCCAACACATTCAACTTCTTCAATGCATTGGGAGACATTGCATTCGCGTACGCCGGCCACAATGTGGTGCTTGAGATCCAAGCGACGATACCCTCGACCCCTGAAATACCGTCGAAAAAGCCGATGTGGAAAGGTGTGATTTTCGCGTACATCGTAGTGGCCTTGTGCTATTTCCCGGTTGCAATAGGAGGTTACTATATATTTGGGAACGCAGTCGAAGACAACATTCTGCTAGGTCTCGAGAGGCCCAGGTGGCTCATTGCAGCTGCTAACATGTTTGTCCTCATCCATGTCATTGGTAGCTACCAGGTAACATCCATGTCTCCCACCGCGTATTTATCGTTTCTATTCTTTGTTTATAAACTTATATTGAACAATTTGATCCATGTAGATATATGCCATGCCGGTGTTTGACATGATGGAAACATATTTGGTCAAGCAAATCAAGTTTAAGCCGTCCTTCAACCTTCGTTTCATTACTCGCACCACATATGTCGGTAAGGCTTTCGATAACTACACAACAAATCTACTTTATTACAATTACTATGTGACTATTAAAATTTTTTACAATTTTCATGTGCTTTTCCCTTTTTTAACATTTTTAATATGCAGCTTTTACTATGTTCATTGCTATGACATTCCCTTTCTTCGGTGGTTTGGTTGGATTCTTCGGCGGTTTTGCTTTGGCCCCAACGACATACTTTGTAAGTTATACAAACCAAAAGTTCTTTTCACAGTTCTCGTATAAATCTTTTATGCATAAACTGATACTAAATTTTCCGATTTCATTAACTTTTCCAGCTTCCGTGCATCATATGGCTCATTGTACGTAAACCAAAGAAGTTCAGCTTCTCGTGGATTATTAACTGGGTAAGTTAGTAAAATACATTTGTGCACGAACGCGTGTTCGGTTATCAAGGTTTTCGTTTTCATCCAACAATTTTCGTATCTAGAGAGATTAATGGTTACTGCTAACATTTTGTTAAAAACTACTATTTTGTATTTTCAGGCGTTCATCATAATTGGAGTTGCATTGATGACTGTAGCACCTATTGGTGGCTTAAGGAACATCATTCTATCAGCCAAGAACTACCAATTCTACCAGTGATCCATAAAAAATACAAAATTAATAAATTGAAGACACCGATTAGTCGAGTCATTTTAACGTTCTTGTTATGTAGTATGCAGTGATATTCACATTCCTAGATTTATTTGTTCTAAACATAGATATTTATGTTGTTATTTGTATAGTAAGTATATTATTTATGTTTTGTGTTTTCTGGTTTCTTGTTTTTTCTTGTTTTTTTTTTTTCAATGACAAACAAGCAAAATTTACAAACTCAAACCACAGTACACCAGTCCAACGAGCAATCAACTGATTACAGATTACTTGAGAAATCACCCCAAGAAAACTCAAAAACCGCGGGAAAGATCACGAACTCCCCCTCTCGAGGACCAACAAGGTCAAACACAAACAGCCACACAAAGAATGAGTTCAACATTACTAAAAACTACAAGAGAAAGAACCTGCTCCATAAAGGAGAAAACAACTACTCAATGCGCATATTATCGTCATCATCATTGGAGCAACTACAACATGAAGTAAAAGTCTCAAAGCCCCAAGTGACCACCGAACCCCCCAGGACCTAGTTACTATCTAGCTTGGAGATCACTGATTCACACCAGCAGACACACCTACGAATTCCTGCTAGTCTCTAATGGTAGCCCCAACCACAGCTTTCTCAGGCATCCCGATATTCTGAAACTTCTATATTTCCTCGACTTAGCGTTACATTGTGGTCGCATCCCTTATGGCCATTTTACCTAGGGAAAAGGAAGGGGATGGCTATCCCTGGGGCCTGTTCATTCACCGCAGCTCCCAATTTTCGGGAGATGGTAGGCGAATGGCCCGACATTTCGGGCAGATTCCCCAGGGGTTTTGGCGCCCTGTGCCTTCCTTAGTGTCCGCCTATCGTAAAATGTAGGTGGTTAACTGAATTTTTTCTTCATAAATGAATTAATATCCTAATATAGAACAGACCCTCTACCACCGATGTTTGAATCTGAAAGAATCAACCCCTAACCCTTCTCAAGAAACAAGTGCTAACTTATAGATTGTTTGAGCCCTGCTACAAATGAAAGAATATATGTTCAATAGTCTCCAACCCCTCACCACAACTACCACAAATAGGGTCCACTGCCATCCCTCTAGCTTGGAGGTTTTTGCCTGTCGGTAAGACACCATTGAAGCATTTCCAAATGAAGTGCTTCAGCTTTCCCCCGACCTTCAGACCCCAGCTTCTTGTTCTTACCTTCATGTCCCTCTCAACACTTAAGCTACCTTCAGCCAGATCCAAATTCCTTATCTTTGCTTTAATTAAAGAAGAGTAGGCTCCTGCTACAGAAAATAACCGTTTAGAGTTAAGAGACCTCACCGACATGTTTTTTGATCAGGATCCAAAGTTTTGATGTTGAGAATGGCATCCTTATCTGCTTCTCCAAAAAGCTCCTGCAACAGTTCAAAATTTCATCTCTTAGCCACTAAGTCTTGGTTCATCTCACCAGAATATTAGACTTAGAATTCTCCAAATTTTCTTTAAAATGAGTGTCTCATTAAACAGTTTGATGTCCGTGAAGCGCAATTCTCCATTCTCCTTGGGCAGAGCGATAAGGTGTCAAGCCTTCCAATGCATACCTAGTTTCAAATCGTCACTTTTACTCCATCAGAAACCTGCACTCATCCTTACTAACTCCCAACAACCTCCTTTAGGAAGACATAAGAAAGATACTACGAACACAGGCATAACATCAATTACAGCTTTCGACAAACTTCCTTTCCAGCATAAATGAAGAAATATAGCAGCAGATCCTATGATGATCGAGTTCCTTGAAGTGGTTATAACTGCTTTTCTATTGAGTTGGTTTAATAAAATCGCGTAGCAACTCTGTAAATAATAGCTTGCGTTTTTGTCTTAGCTGGGTTTTAAGTTCAACGACGTCGTTTCACCTGTTTAGGACGACGTCGTTTAGTTCATTGCATAAGCACTATAAATGAGCTCCCTTTGTACGTTTCCTCAGTACAATGAAATAATATTTTTCTCTCAAAACTTCAACTGTGATTCTTCATGGCATCAGAGCAGTGACGATCCTGCGGAGCTCTGAGATACTCTTTAATGGCGAACAATCGTTATAATGAAGCTTGGCCATTGCTCAACGCACGAGCTGGAAGCAGCTCAGAAGTGCGTGATGATCATCCTTTTTTCTTAAGCAGTTCCGATCAACCAGGTATGCAGCTCGTCTCACATCAGCTTAATGGATCGAATTTTCTGCATGGAAGCGTTCGATGATGATTGCTCTTGGTGCTAAAACAAAGCTAGGGTTTATTAATGGATCTATTGAGACTCCTGAAGTAAATGATCCAAATTTTGAAAAATGGAGAAAAGCGGATTGGACTGTTATTTCGTGGATTATGAACTCATTATCGAAGGAGATTGTTGGTGCTTTCATGTGCGCTGAATCGGCCAAAGAGCTGTGGGACGAAATCTGCCAAAGGTTTGGGGAAAGCAATGGTCCCCTCATTTATCAGTTGCAACGAGATATTTCTGCTCTTAAGCAGGGAAATGAGACAGTCATGGTCTATTCCAACAGGCTTAAGACAATGTGGGATGAACTGAGCTATTTGGTGCCTCAATTGTCCTGCAAATGTGAAATTGGAAAGGCAGTTGTGGAACAACATATGCAAACAAAGCTAATGCAATTTTTGATGGGATTGAATGAAAGTTTTGATCATGTGAAGAATCAGTTGCTACTAATGGATCCTTTGCCATCAGTCAACAAGGCCTACTCCATGGTCTTATCAGCAGAAAGGCAGAGATTTGTACAGTCTACTTCAGGAGACATTGGTACAAATGTGGCTATGGCAGTGAGGTACAATGGGGGAAACAAAGAGAATCATACTAAACCACAAGCCTACAATCCAAAACCAGGAAGAGAGGGACAAAGGCTCACTAAGGAAGAGAAAGCCAAATTGTTCTGTGACCATTGTGGGAAAAATGGCCATGATAAGAGCACATGTTTCAAAATTCATGGATTTCCAGACTGGTTCAAGGAGAACAAGGATAAAAGATATAGGACTGCAGTGAATATGGTACAAAGTGAAAGCCCTTGGAGACAACAAGGTGCAGGAATTAGCTCAATGGGGGATGTTACAACTTTAGCACATGAAGTTGCCAAGTTACTGGGAAGACAACCACATGACAGTGACAAAGGAAAGCCCTATAAGGAGGAGGAACAGTATGTTAACTTTGCAGCTAATGTTGAAAAGGATGACAGACACTATGCTCTGTCAATGTATGATAAGTTGGGAGGAGATGATTGGGCGATAGATACAGGGGCAAGCAAGCACATGTGTGTTAATCAAGCCTTAATGAGAAATGTAACATCTCTACAGTCACATATAGCAGTATACATGCCAGATGGAACAGTTAAGATGGTGACACAGACCGGAGAAGTTCAGATATCACATGATCTTACATTATATGGAGTACTCTTGGTCCCATCTTTCAAATATAATCTCCTGTCAGTGACTCAGGTATGCACTACATCTCATTTGAAATGCAGCTTCACTTCTAAGGGATGTTGTCTGCAAAGAGAGAAATCAGGAGAGGTTATAGCAACAGGTGATTTAAGGGAGAAATTGTATATTTTGAACTGTAAAGGAAGAGATAAGCAAATCAGTTTAAGCTGTAAGACATCACTCATGGATTGGCATAAAACACTTGGGCATGCATCTTATAGAATAATATAATGAAACAGTTGTCATTCCTTAAAGACATGTGCAGCACACAGGAAGAGTTCAACCTGAAGAGATGTGTATATGCTTTAAATCAAAACAACACAGACTGCCATTTTCTGATAGCAGCATTAAAACCACATAATGCTTCACCTTAATCCATGTGGATATTTGGGGACCTTGCAGGGAAAGCTCAGTGCTCAACACACCCTATTTTCTTACAATAGTGGATGACTACAGCAGAAGCATTTGGGTTTTTCTTATGGGATCAAAGGGAGAAACATCAAGTCTACTGAAGAAGTTCATAACCATGATTCAGACTCAATTTGGGAAAACAGTGAAGCAAGTTAGAAGTGATAATGGACAGGAATTTTTGAGTCAAGAATGTCAAAGGATGTTTGATGATTTTGGAATTATACATCAGAGAAGTTGTGTATACACACGACAACAAAATGGTGTGGTTGAAAGAAGGCACAAACAAATCCTTGAAGTGGCAAGAGGGCTGATGTTTCAGTCAGGCATGAATATGAAATATTGGCCATATGCAGTATTGGCAGCAGTGCACACTATTAACAGACTACCTAGTGTTGCTTTAAACTGGGAAACACCATTTGGGAGGGTCTACAAAGAGCCACCAGATTATACCAGGCTGAAACCATTTGGTTGTTTGGTTCATGCAGCTAACACCAATCCTAACAAAGGAAAACTGGGACCTAGGTCACACAGATGTGCATTCCTAGGCTATGCAAGAGGCTGCAAAGGGTATATTTTGTTAGACATAGATGATGGGAGGAGATTTATTTCCAGAGATGTGGTATTTGCTGCAGAAATCTTTCCTTTCAAAGATATTCAAGATGACAGCAATGATAACACACCTTTACCACTAGTGACAGACATGACTGACATTGAGAATGATGAAGGGTCCACACCACAAAAGACTACTCAAGAAGCAACTTCACAGGCCCAAACTGGGAAAAGGATTAGAAGGCAACCTGCATGGATGAAGGATTACATATGTGACAGTGCTGGAATGAGTGTACTGAAAAATGATGAGGATGAAGCTGCTTTTCTGGCAAACATAACCACAGGGCAAGAGCCTACCTATTTTGAGCAGGCCAGAAAGGATAAAAGGTGGGTTGAGGCAATGGACCTTGAACTTAAAGCTTTGGAGGATAACCAGACATGGGAGCTGACACATCTACCACCTGGGAAGAAAGCCATAGGCTCGAAATGGGTCTACAAGATTAAAAGAAGGGCAAATGGGACAGTAGAAAGGTACAAGGCAAGGCTGGTAGCAAAGGGTTTTACTCAAGTGG